GGGCACTCGGGCACAATGTGACGTGTGCTGGCCCTGGGACACTTGTGCCGTCCGATCCACGTGAGGCCCGTGGTGCGTGGCCCTGGGCTCGCACACCAGAAGCTTGAGCACCACCAGACTCACTGGATCCCAGATGCATCAGCTTTCAGGAGCAAGTGCTCACCTCATCAGAGGGTAGGAAATGATGTGCAGAGAGCAGGTGTGCAATGCAGAGGTGTTTATTTTAAATGTAAAAGGGAATGGAGGGAGGGGAGGGGAAAGGGGGACAGCGCTGAGAGAGGTGAACAAGTCAGCAAGTAAAACCCCCGAGGGACTGCAGGGATCTGGAAGTGAAGGATGAGAGTTTGGAGCCAGTCTCTCCCAGCGGGGTGCTGTGTGTGTGGGGATCGGGAGACGACCCCTGGGCCAGGGCAGCAACAGGGTCCAGGCTGGAGCAGCTCCTGTGATGGAGACCCCAGCCCTGCCCCCACCCCGGGGCACCGAGGGCTGGCAGTCTTGTCTCCCACCTCCACCTCCCAGTAGCGCCTCCCACCCATGAACACCTCCTTGCCCAGGACTTCTGGGTAAGTGTCAAATCTCTCAGGGGTGTTGGGCAGATCCTGCCGGGTGTCTGTCTCTCTCACACATTTCCGATCCTCAGACAGGACGAGGTCAGGATGAGCCGTCCCTGGGTCCAGAGTCACGTCCACTGGGGAGAGAGTCACGGGTCAGGGCCGGGGCAGGAGGTCCCCACGATCACGGGGAATTCGCTGCGTCCCAGCATTCGCGGGTCGGTCCCTGCTCGGAAACCACCGTCGCCCTGCAGGCAAATGGGGGAAGAGGAAATGGGGGAACAGGAAAGCGGGACGTCCCCACCGGCCCCTCCATCCCCGGGGCATTCCCATCCTGGGTGCTGCAGCCATGAGGGGGGAGGGACATGGGGTGGGGGCGGGGCAGCCCCCGGGAGGGGGAGGGGCATGCGATGCTGTCATCCCAGCAGGTCCCTGCCCTGCCCCTCCCCCACACCTTGCGGGGGCTGCTCTGCCGGTGGGGCAAGAGGAGTGGGCTCCCAACCCCTGAGCTGGTGTCGCAGGCGCTGTTGGGA